TCGATCAACATTTTGCTTAAACATAGCACCATAAGGATATGAACAGCAAATTTTTGTTAGGAATATGTTTATATAGTTCGCTGGATCTATTAATTCTACAGAATATTGTTTGTCTCTTTGTTGTCCGCAAATTACGGAATAGTTACAATTACTTATTATTTTTTAATTTTGAATGTGTATGCCTTTTAAGGCGAAATCATATGCTTATGATTTTCTTATCGGAGAAGGTAATTATTTCAATTAACCTTAAAACCGACTCACTCACTAGGACGCATCTATGCGATGATGCGCAAGAAAAATATATTTCCTAGGGCGGCCCAGGAAGGTGCTTTGCACCTTTAATTTCTCCTTTCAATATAACATGTACAATTCATTTTAAATCGAAATGTGAAATATCACATTTTTACCACATGCTCATGTTATTGTTTGAGACGTTATATTCTTTCACTTTTATGTTAATCCATTATTTAGCATTCTCAAGGGCAGTAGAACCCGCACAAGCTTCTTTTAACATCCATTTGCGAATTACCAAATTATCAAATATTCATAGGTAATTAATGACATTTGACAAATATTCAAACAACAAAATTTTCGTTGGAAATTGTAGTACCAACTAAATCCCCCTCCTACTTTCATCAGGTATCAAAGTATCAATGTTCCCCACATTGTGATTTAATTTTCTTTTTTTTTCAGCATAAGACATTAGTGTTATATTCCCATCAAACCAATAAACATAGAAGTGTTTGACGTAGAATAATGTTCAATTTAACATTTTGAAGAGCCAATATTTTCAAGTTGTTCACACATCATCAATATAAATTGATGAATGTGTGAGTTTGTTGTTAGTAAAATATTATTTCCAGACATACAAGTATAAGTATGTTGCGCTTCAGCAAATACAAAGTAAACTTCTTGCGAACTAACGAATGTCCCAGTCTGGCTAGTGGAGAATATGGAATCCAATCTTAATGGTTATTTCTACCAATAGAGGCGCGATATTTTAAACAATATGCTTACCAACATTTGTAATGGCAAGAGGTTAGAACCATTTACTGTAACCACGACCTGATGTTTCCATCATTTGTGAATTATCAGCAATGCATGTTCGTTCAAGTATCTCGACATCCAATTGTTTCTTTCGTATTAACACTGGCCATTTTGTTAATAGAAATTCGTAGCATAGAGTTTTAATAAAATAACCATAAAATTGAAAGAACATACACCACGATGCCCAACAGACTTGGACAATGGCGCGAAAGAAGACGAGAGTAGAAAAATGGTCGAGTTAGATATGTTTAATGAATACGTTTGTTTCTACTAATAAACAAATTGTTTATTTATTGATTTATAAGTTAGTTAAAAGTAAACAATTTAATGGTTTCCTAATAGTGTCTTTTGAAACCTACAATCTTTGGGTGAGAGTTTAAAATAAACTATGTAATCAATATTGTGACATAGGTTTAACATTCGCTAAATATAATCACAAAACAAAAGTATTTACAAAATAAAAAATAAACTAAAAATTAAACAGGTTATAATGGTTACTAAGCTATTTGTTCAATGTGTTTGTTGGCAGAGACCCCCAAAGTCTTGTAGGAATATATATATAAGATAAAATGTCCATTCAACTGTTCTGACAATTTTCTTAGCTGAACAAATGATTGTTGTGAATAACACAAAATACTGTTTCATCAATATTGACGAGCTACTGAGCAACTGAGAAGAGTTGCTATCGCCAATTGCTTTTGGCGTTCTTAATGATTTCACAATAGTTTGAAGAGCAAATATGCAGTTTTTTTCCAATATCAATATCTTAAGATGTGGACTTTAATTTTGAGTTATTTCAGTTTTAAAGTAACGCTCTATTGCCTTCTCCTTTTGAACATATTGAAAAATGAACGTACCTGCGGGTTGTTTGGGCCATTAGGGCCGTTGGGACCATTAGGGCCATTGGGACCATTGGGTCCATTGTTATTGCCTGTAACAGAAAGAATGTAAACAATTTTAAGTAAATCTTGTATAGAGGTATGCAGATTATTAACCGATAGCCGTCAACGAAATATGAAGTTTATAAATGTATGGAGAACGAACAACATACCTCTAAAATCGAATGGATTTGGGTTGTTTCCAAAGCCATCAAAGTTATTGCAATTGCCACTGAAGCCACCCTCTTGCTGATCCAGCAATGAGTTCAACTGTTGAGCTTGCATAAACAATGTGTTTCTTGCTGACGTCTGCGCATCTCCTCTTCTTGACGCAACATGCGCGATTGCATTTCGGTCTGTTGGCGGCGAACTTGTTCTTCGTCGCGTTTGCGCATCTCTTCAGCTTGTTTCTCACGCATTCCCATTCCATTTTCTTGCGTTCATTGTCTGACTCGCGCTTGCGCAATTCTGCAAATGCATATTTCAATTGAAACTTACTATTTCCATACTATCATTCATTTTTCAACAAAATTATAAATACCTTGTCTGAGGAGTTCTGTTTCGTGCTCATAACGAGCATATTCCATCTGCGCCTCCAATTTCTCTTCCTCCATTTTTAGTTCACGTTTTAGAGCTTCCTGTTTGCTCTTGAATAATTCATGCAATTGCTTCCACCTGGTGCCATATTCATGTTCGAAACTTCCACGTTCGGCAAACCGAGGTCCAATGCCACGTTCATGGTTGAATTCGGACAGTTTTTTGTTCAGCGACTTGTCGGGTAGACCGTCATTGTCATCGGTCAAATCGAATGGTTCAACGACACAGGGTCTCAATGAAGCAGTGAGGAAGAAACACTTCTCATTGCAGTAGCGCAGACATATGTTGGCTGAGGACTTTTTGGCAAATTCAACAATACCCTCCCCGGTAGATTTACCACGATCGTCAACATTGACCATAGCCCTTTCAATGGGACCAAAGATTTCAAATGCTCTATAGAGCAATTCATTCGAAACAAATGGTGTAAGGTTCGAGACACGCAAAACTGTGGCATTAGGGGCGAAACGAACACGCAAAACGCGTCCTTTGCGATTTGTGCCATCGAGTTCGCGCTTTGCACGTTCAGCATTGGCATGATAGTCCATTTTAAGGAATGCAAAATTCTTTTCTGAATTACAGAAAACTTCGGCTATTTCACCGTATGGCTTGAAGAGCTCTCTTAGTTCTTCTTCGCTAACTTCACCAGTTAGATTACCGACATACAGACGGTTACGTCCAGAGAATTTGCTTTCCTCGGAGGCCTGAATAGCTTCAAGCTCGTGGGTGGGACCAGAGATGGAACGCAAGCGCTGATTAACGAAGAAATCGTCATTGCGACCACCACGTGGGCCATCGCCGCCGCCACCTCCACCTCTTGGGCCACCACCATCACGACCATCACGATTTCCGAAGTTACGGTCTCGTTTTTGACCACGATCACGTTGGCCTCCTCTGCCGCCCATTCCGCCATCATTGTTGTTATTGCCACCGCCAAAACCGCCACCGCCAAAGCCGCCACCACCATGTTGTTGTCGGTTTTGTTGGAATTGTTGATTCTGATTATTTTGTTGTTGATTCTGATTATTTTGTTGTTGGTTCTGGTTGTTCTGTTGGGGGTTTTGTTGATTTTGTTGGTTTTGTTGATTTTGTTGGTTTGTTGATTTTGCTGATTTTGTTGATGCGGAGCGTTTCCTGGACCAGCATTAGTATTTGCTGGTTTATTTTCCGCTTGAGCCTTAACATCTTTAGCAGCTGCGCCGCCCGTGGCTTGATCAGGTGCTGCTTGAGCTTGAGCTTGCTGTTGTTTCTGTTGATTCTGATTCTATACGAGTAAGATTGAAAAGATATAGATATTTTGGTATTCATAGAATGAAATTGTACTTTTGTCATCAAATAGGGTAATATAACCTCGACGACATCGCTTGTTATAATTTAAACTAAACTAAGTTCTAACTGTTAGATTGTTACCACTACTACTTTTAATCTGTAAACTGATATAAATCTAACAAAAATCAACAAAGTCACGATTCAATCCATATATTAAAAATATCAACCCGAACATTAATGCCGACAACAGAAGGCATTTTGCGTCATTTATTTTTATTTGTCATTGTTTCCTATTCAGCAAATGATGGTTATATGAATTATAAAATTAAACATACCAAATGAATTGGATCGAACCAAAATGCTAACCTACTCTTAGATTGTAACTCATTAAAAATATGGATTGGCTTGACAGATATATACCCACCCTCAGAATATAGTTTGCAAGTTATTACCTTAGTGTGGAAGATAAGGTACCCGAAGCAGTTGGACGATATATTCCATCTTCGCACTTGAAATAAAGTTGATATAAATATTACGATGTGTGGGGTGGGTTTCAACCAATTTATTTGAGCTTTTCACATCTCTATTTGAGATGGTCCACATCTCTGCTCTATATCTGGGGTTGACAAAACAATTGGATTACGCAGTTTGAAGAGTATCAGAACAGTAAGTAATGGGCGGATATTACACAACTTCGAACTTTATCTAAGACTGACAAGAGTATTAGAATTTGCAGAGATTAGACCTTATTGGATGCATCCTTTTTGTTGTACAAAATGAGACGACAAATACGGTTACGAGGTTTGTTATAAAAGTTAGACTATTAGATTCTGATTAAGAGACATATTATGTATTCAAAAATTCAAGATATTTCGATAAACTCCTAGGTCAGGTTATGTTAGGTTGAACAGAGTTTAGCCCCTCTGGACATAATTTGAGTCAGTATAGGTCTGCTGTGCGCTCTAGACTAGGATATTATTAAAAGAAGGGCGTCAGTTAACAGTCTTAAGGTCTTAAGGTTTGGTATGGAATCGTTACCCAAGAATTGCGATCTGATATTTGCAAACGCTGGGCATTGACACAGAAAATGCTCCAACGTTTCGTCATCTGTTATCTGCACATTCCGTCTTGTACAGATGAACTTGTAGGCCCATGTGCCCGTAAGGATGCCTCCTAACCTAGACTGACTACAATTTGTGTAGTGAAGATTTGCTGGCGTTTATTGAAGTAAAATGAAACTATTTGAAACAAATCTATTTGGTTGAAAAATTGTAGTGTACTTAACCCGTATCAAATATGGTGGGACTTTAATAGCGTATTTCGCTTCGTAGAGAACTATGGGCTTGTGTGTTTTTTCGAAAGAAAATGAATGCGATAGAAATCACTAATTTGTTTAATTGTTTATGGTATGGATCTATTTGTCGTATATTTTAATACACTGTTCGTCAAATTAATCTGATGGGGGCACTTTACAACGATAAAGTGAGTAGATGATAAATTTAAAATGTTCTCCCATGCCTTGCACAACTTTTGTAAATGTTGTTAAATCAGCGATTTTTATATTACATTTTAAATTCAGAAAAATATACTTAACACGCATCAATGAAATTGATAACTTGGTGCGATTCGTACTGAAAATAAAGCCAACGAGTTTTATCAACGAAAGCCAAGCAAATATCAATAATTGTAAAAAACCAATGAACTCAAAACCGTATATTTTATGTATTTTGATTACATTTGATCACAAGTCAAATGAATTTAAAATACACATTTCACATAACTACAGATTTTTTTACAATATTTTCTCTACAATGATGCTACTTTTCATCGCGCAGTATGGGGTTGAAAATCAATCCAACGAAATTCTTATTGTCATTATTATTTTCCCTGTTCTCAAAACTACGAAAATTTAAAATAAAATATTTCATTTGAAAAATATTTATATAATTTTTCTTAAAGAAATGGCATTCATTAACTTTTTTGGAAATCCGCTTTTTCTAAACCCCAACACAACCACGCACACAAATTACTTTCTTCAAAATACAACACTGCGCTGTGGGCAATGACATGGTTGGCAACTATGTACCAGGTAAGAGATAATGCCGGTCGACACGAGGTCGAGGAGGTAGGTATATACTGGCGGCAGCCATTTTGTATTATACATAATTTTCGGTCTCATATTCTTCCTCCAATCACATTATTTCTTTTTTTAAATTCGCTTAAAATCTGCCTTTAAATAATAAATGTACCTACCTGATTCTGTTGATTTTGGAAATTTCCTTTGTTGGCGTTCTGATTGCCACCTCCACGATTTTTATTTCTATTTCCGAAGGCTTGGTTATTCTTATTTCCACCAAAACCTTTATTCTGATTTTGGTTTTGATTGTTCTGAATTGGGCCACCTCCTTGATTAAAACGAGGTTTCTTTTCTGCTGGCCCATCCATGGCTTTGTCTTGGTTCTTGTCTCCTTGATTTTTTTGCGGCCGCTGAGGCAAAGGCCCGCCACCATTTACAGCAGTTTTAGCACTCATCACTTTTAACTTTCTTTTCACAAAAATTCACTTTTTTCTAATAACACTCGGCCCTTTACTTGCAGATAAACGACTCACCTCAACGACTGCCGGAAATAGAATGAACACGAAAGTCAGAATAGGCATCTTATGTTAACTATCGATTAACTCGATTGTTTGTTGATAGAATATCGATAATCGATTTTGATGTCGACTTTTCAACCAATTTAGTTATTCGAACGAAAAAAACTTGAGGAACAAACATTAAGTGCCGTCGAGACGTTCAAATTTTTTCATCAAGCAAGTGCGTATTTACGAAGTTACGTGTACGTAAACGTACAAACAAGTTTGTCAAACATTCCTTTTGTAATTATTTTCGTTGAGTGCAGTCATGCTGTCGTCGGAAGATGAGTGGCTTTTCGTGACAGCAGTTGTGTTAAAAAAAATGGAAATGAAAAAGAAAGAGAAAATATGGATGAAAAAGTGGTATGAACAGCGCAAACGATTTACACATGAAAAACTTTTGAAGGAGCTGCGAATGAGTAGTGTTGATGACTACAGAAATTTTTTGAGGATATTTATTTTTAATATATTTATTTTTTTTTAATATCTTCAACAGTACCATCGGGGTACTTATAAAAATCAAGGAGTATATTATATTGTTTTTTCCCTATTACTGTACGCGTCTGTCCGCACATTCCACAATGCATCAAGGCATTGGTACATTTCAATAAATTTTATTGTAAATTCTTTTTCGTCCGCTATTCATTTTTACTCCTCAACGTTACAACACAAATGGCATTTTGTTTGACAAACACTAATGCAGACGTTCAAATAGATTTGCGCAAATAAAAATATCAAAATATTTTGATTTTCCATCAAGCAGAGCCGACAACAAATGTGTGAAGCTGACAAAAGCCGATTAGACTCACATGGACATACACATATAACCTGCTTGACGAAAAAATTTGAACGTCTCCAGGGCACTTTAAAAAAGGAATTTGTAAAAATGGCAAATATTGCTCATTCACGTAAATGCACACTAAAAGTACTTTTGGGTACTTTACTTTACGATATCCTCTAGATCTCGAATGTAAATTAGATAGCGTACATCAAATAATATATCCACTGGATATGAGAACGTTTTACGTGGCGTACAAGCTATGGAATTTACATATAAAATCGGACGGTGTTAGTAGTCTAAACGTGCTCTTACTGTGTGACGAAAATTGTTGAATTAATAGGTTCGTTCGTTTATTTTTCCAGTAGCATTTACTCAGTAAGTTTATTGTAAAATAACAGCTGATCCAATTTATTTGTATTATTTGTAAAAATTTCATTACAAAAAGTAATGTGTAATGTAAAAGGTGTAGTCATTGACACCAAGCCTGATTTTTCAGCGCATGTTGATTCCTTGCTGTCTTCAAGCTAATTTGCCTCTTAGTGTTAGGATGATAATAGCCAGATCTTTATGAATATTTGGAGGCCACCTCTGGGGCGAATGCTTGCCATGTGTGTACGCAAACTTGTTAACACTATTGTTAGATATGTGTTTGGGTTGCGCCGTAGTGATTGTTAATGTTATTAAGTTCCTTGGGCTGGCCTTTGTCAGATATGTTGAATATCGCCTGCTTTTGAGTCATTACAGGATTATGAGGAATGTTAATTCTCCTTTATATAAGTTTTGGTCTGTTCCAGATCTGCAAGAATGTAAAAGTTTTTACTACGATAACCGGTTTTCCGTTTATGATATCGAATAAAATTGCAAAACTTGTAGATTCTTCATGTTGCCATATTTTATATTGATAATATGACAATAGCAGCAAAATATATTTAAATAAAGAAATGGATAACGCAAATCATTTATTTTATATTGAAGAACTGAATTATAAATTTATTTATCGAAATTAACTACAAATTCGTTTTGTTTATTTTCAACCAAAAATGAAGATGCCATTGTGAAAAAAATGTTGTGACTACCAGTTACTTTTACAAAAAGCTTGCCATATCTCTGTAAGAAATGCATATACTTTAAAGGAAAGATGTAATAATGAGAAACCGATAAAGTTAACTTTTATCCTTCACTTTTCCTAAAGTAAGGAATAAAAAAAGTGGACTATAAAGGGAAGATATAAGAACGGGTCAAGGATCATATTTTTGAGAGAACGTCCAGTCATTTCATTCATCTTTCACGCTATTTGACTCATTTTAAAAATGAACAAAAAATATCAAATAAATGAAAACAACTTGTTGGATATAATTATGAATAATTCTGACAGGAAGCGGGCGTAGCCTCAAGGCTGTATTTCTGTAGTTTTACGAAGCTGTTCTACCTCCTTATTGTACCATGGATTTACTGTTTTGAAATATGAAAACAAAATATTTTCAAAACAAATGATTGGAAGACACGTAGATTGCGGCTTGCGCATTAAAGCTATTAGCCATGAAATTGAAAGATTAAACAGTTTGGATCATATTTTAAGTGAAAGTCCAGGCATTTCATTCATTTTTCACGCTATTTAACTCATTTTAAAAATGAGAAAAAATATGACAATTAAATGTTGCATATAATTTTGAATGAGTCTGACAGGAGCGGGCATAGCCTCTGGGGTGTACTTCTGGAGTTTAAAGTATTGTACAATGCATGCGTCTTATTGTCTAAATCTATATTCATAAATCCATTATATACACACAAAATCAGCGATGGGAACTGTTTTTTATGCAATGAAATTTGACAAGGAAAATTACAGGAGTTCTAATTTGAAATGAAGTTACCTTTATTTCATTGTACCAGTTTTGCCATGAAATTGAAAGATTGAACAGTTTGGATAATATTTTTGAAAGCAAACGATGCATTTCATTCAAATTGAAAATAAGGAAAAATATCAAAAAAATGGCAATAACTTGTTGCGTATAATTTTGAATAATTCTGACAGGAAGCATGCATAGCAAGCGGTTTTACGTCATTATTGTAGCATGTTTGGAGCAAAAGAGTTTAAGGTACAAGTACATAAAAAGCTTGAAGTCATGGCTGGGCATATTAATGTAAAATTACAATGGAAAACGATGGCAGGATTTTAGTGCGGCTCTGTAATACCCTATGAAATGTCACAAGATATGCATTTAGAATGACCTTGTTTAAATTCGGTTAATAATTTAAACCAGGCTTTCTACATTCCTCTGTTATTTCATCAAAAAGTGCAGATGGATTAAAGCATATTTTGTGACATATTATAAATATGTTATGTCAGATCCGTACTGAAATCCTGTCGTCGTTTTTCATTGCAATTTAACATTGATATGCCTAGCCATGATGCCAAGCTGCTTATGTACCCACAATATAATCAATCATATGTTTTTAATTTTTTAAAATTATTCATTTGACAACATCTCATTGTCAAAATGTGTATTTATAAATCCAATGTACGTACACAAATCAGAGATTAGAACCTGCTTTCCATACAGTGAAATTTGACAAGCTAAATTACAGAAAATTCAAAGATGGGAATGCTTATTTGAAATGACTTTACCTTCTTAATTTTACAATGTGGTTAAATTTGTTTAAATTATTTACAAGTCTGAACAGAAAATAATATTTTTAAATGCAATCGACTAGAAAATTTCTCATTCAATTTTGTACGTGCCACTACAGACCAAGTTTGAAAATATTCTTATAGTGTGTCTGGGCACATTTACAGTATTATTTACAACATTCATGGTCTGTTTTAGAATTGCAAGAATGTAACAATTTTAGTCGAGTGTAGTAACAGTTGGCTGTTGAAGTTCCTTTGATCATTCAGTGAACATCACATAAGTATATTTTGTTGGAGAAAATTCGTCTTACACAACCCTGTAAAAGAACACATTCGATCTCCGGATCCCTATAGAAGGCAATCGTTTTTATTTTGATTTCGATCTTTATTACACATATCCGCTTTGGTCGTTGTTTCTCATTACTACGGCGGTCAATGGGAGCTTTGTGGCTTTGTAATCCAGTCGAGTTTCCTTGTTAATCTGGTACTGGCTTGGGAAGTGAATTGTTTCATCTTTGAATATATTAAAGTATATTATATTTATATTGTGTGTCCTGCTAAATGAATATAAATTTAAGATGAATTCAATGAGCATGGCCCAGGTCGCATCATCAAAAGAATCGGTCAGTCAGGCCAACCAGGAGTACTTACTCCAGGGATCTATTATTGCATCTGCTGTTGAACACTTAATTCACCGGTATTGAGGACGTGCAAAAGCATTTGCCAGAAAATAACTCAGATATTATTTTTATTGCAGGCTTCGTGGATTGTGCGATAACGTGGAAAATGTACCCGAGACATTTCATGATTTGGAAGTATGTATGAGCATGAGGCAGCCGAATCAGGTTCCCTTACAAGTACGTGTTCGCCGAGCACTGGGCACTCGGGATTTGCCATTTCAACTCAGATATATCGGACAACCCGAACTAGATCGATCTAGGCCAACTTTGGTACGATCCAGCATCGATGTTGGATGCACATCAACCGTTCTTGAATTCCTAACTGAATTGGGTTGCAGAGTAGATTTTGAGTACGTTAGCCAAGGATTCTTGTTTCGCAAAGGCCGAATGAAAATTACGGTGGCGAAAATATTTAAAATTATTCCTGGAAAACAGAATGACAGTGAACCAGTGTGTAACAGCTATTTGGTGGAACTATCGGTATTAGCGCCAAATGGACAGGACGCGATTGGAGATGAAATGCGTATATTTGCTGAACAATTAAAACCATTAGTACATCTTGAAAAAATTGATTACAAAAGACTTGGCAATATTCCATAAGTGTAAATGCTCTAATATTAAATATTTGTAAATTAACTAAATAATAGTTGTACTGCTTCCACCTTCAAGGTAAAAAAGGAGACGATGTAAGGGTTGTATCAATACTGAAGGTGGTTCGGCTGGGTAATAAATTATAATGCGTCCGGGCAATTGTTCTTCTGCCAATTCGAACTCATCTCGATCTAAGCTGAGCTGAAAAAACCATGGTTTGTAAGCGGTTTTTAAATATAATTCTGACACATAAGATATCCATAAAATGAAAATGAAACTTTGACTCATCTCGTATACTTTTTATTCTACCATGAACTTATCCATTAGAATTGCTTAACTGGCCTAATTCTGTTATAATAAAACTGCCATGAAAATTATTTTCTTTATACAGCGTTACCTTAAATTCGACGTAGCGCACACAGACATTTAACTTCCCTGCTATGGTAAAATGATTTGTACGTCCGCATTACCTAATTACGTCTGGTATATATCTTAAAATCTGCCAAATAATATTATTTGAAAAAAAAAATGATACTTTATTAAATTTACCCAATTGTAATATTTTACAATTATTCAATTATGTTTTCAACACACAAAAAAGAAATTGTTTCAATTGTTAATGTTGAACATATTAAACTTTGAAAATTTTTACCGCCGACGTATTTGGGTACCTCTAATTTAAATTGTGTGTTGAAAAACGTCGACTGAGTACATTTCATAATTTCGTAGAACTTATAACTTTTATGTCTTTGTCTACGACAGTACTATACTGAAAAGTCTAATTCATATATAGACGACAAGAGCTTTCTTAACAAGTGTGTGATTTGAATAGTCGATACACTTGACTTCAAAAACAATGATTGAAATTTTCACGAATTACAGTTGTTTGTTTCAACATCTCTCGATGTCATCATGAATGGGATAATTTTTCTATTACACTGCACTTTTGCACATGTACTAATCGGTGTTTACCTCTTCATTTCCTTGGCTTAGTTAAGCCATGTTAAATTAATGCCCCGTTCCAGAACCCTCAAGACTACACATTTTGCGTTTTTTTCCATGTCATAAAGGTAAAATCGGCTATCGTGTAGTTCTGGGACAGAGCACTGATATTATATTACTTACAGAAATGACCTCTATTCATGTAACTTTCTAAAAATTGTCTTACCTTGTCGCCATTGTGCCATGAGGTAAATGTTTTTGCAGATTTTTTAGGCAAAAGCTGCGTTCTATGCTGCAATTTGGTTAAATCGAAGTATAAAACAATTTAATTTTATGAAATTTCAAAACCAACGGCAGATAAATAAAACAACACAAAAAGGCCATAGCAGAATGAAAGTACAAAGCCATTTAACGCATTAAAATTATATTCAAAACAACAACCGCAAGGAGGCTGTTTGCTTTTTTTTATCGGTTATATAATACGCGTAAAATATGGCTCACCGCGTTAGAAAATGTGGCTTAAAGTACGTAAAGTTACCCTGATAATTGAGTAATCTAATATCAATTATTAGGGTTAACCCGAGTGGATATTTTATATGTAAACGTTCTTTCAGATTGCCAAGATAAGGAGGGTATGTCATAGTGGACATCGTCACCTCCACAGTCCAAACTTTTATGAAAAGCAAAAAAACAACAACAAAACCAAACTCTAACCCAATTTTAACTATCTTATTGGGGGCATTGAACCAGAACATGGTCATGACAAATGTGGGTGGGGACTTGATTCTGTTAACGCACCGAGACGTTGTATGTGAGAACATACAAAACCAAAGTGAACAGCTGTCCGCCCTTCTTGAAAAGACCAAAATCCTGAGGCTCAGCCAAGAGAGCGTTCCATCTGGTTTTGGGATTGATGTATCTCTTTCAGATGAGGAGCTCGACGTTACTGTCATACCCTTATCTCAGAAAGATGAATCAATCCTTAAAGCTTCAGGGAACGCTCAAACCGGCGCCCAGGTGAGGTTAATTCAGGTCGTAATGAATTATCGGCCTGCTCCGAGGCGGTCAACCCCGAATGCAGGAAGCCATAAAATAACTAGTAAAAAGCCGTAAGTTCGGCCGAACGTTGAATACCAACATTTTTTAAAAAATACTAAATGTAGCCGCATTTAAGGGTCTAAACGACGACGTGAACCTTCATAGGCAACTTTTGTCATAAGCCATTACAATATTCAAATTCGAAACTTGAAATAGAAATCGGTGAATAATATAGCTAAAATCATCCATTACGAACTTCAAATACCAAATTTGAAACAATTCCGGTGAATAATGTCGCTAAAATCATCAAAATACCGAATGTCGGGAGGTACCGTTATATGGGGGCTATACGATGACGTGGACCTGCACAGACAATTTTTTATCTTAGACTGTAGTATTCATTACGAACTTCAAATATTAAATTTAAAACATTTTCGGTGAATAATGTCGCTAAAATCATCAAAATACCGAATATCGGGAGGTACCGTTATATAGGGCTATGCGAAGACGTGGAGCTGCACAGACAATTTTCTGTCTTAGGGTGTAGTATCCATTACGAACTTCAAATACCAAATTTGAAACAATTCCGATGAATAATGTCGCTAAAATCAAGAAAGTACAGAATATCGGGATGTACCGTTATATGGGGGCTATACGAAGACGTGGACCTGCACAGACAATTTTCTGTTATAGGCTGTAGTATCCACTTCGAACTTCAAATACCGAATTTGAAACAATTCCGGTGAATAATGTCGCTAAAATCATCAAAATACCGAATGTCGGGAGGTACCGTTATATGGGGGCTATACGAAGACAATTTTTTGTCTTAGACTGTAGTATTCATTACGAACTTCAAATATTAAATTTGAAACAATTCCGGTGAATAATGTCGCTAAAATCATCAAAATACCGAATATCGGGAGGTACCGTTATATAGGGGCTATACGAAGACGTGGACCTGCACAGACAATTTTTTGTCTTAGACTGTAGTATTCATTACGAACTTCAAATACAAAATTTGAAACAATTCCGGTGAATAATGTCGCTAAAATCATCAAAATACCGAATATCGGGAGTTACCGTTATATAGGGGCTATACGAAGACGTGGACCTGCACAGACAATTTTCTGTCTTAGGGTGTAGTATCCATTACGAACTTCAAATACCAACTTTGAAACAATTCCGATGAATAATGTCGCTAAAATCAACAAAGTACCGAATATCGGGATGTACCGTTATATGGGGGCTATACCAAAACGTGGACCTGCACAAACATTTTTTTTTTTGTTATCGGCTATAGTATCCAATTCGAACTTCAAATACCGAATTTGAAACAATTCCGGTGAATAATGTCGCTAAAATCATCAAAATACCAAATATCGGGAGGTAACGTTATATGGGAGCTATACCAAAACGTGGACCTACACGGTCCATTTTCAATAACAAAAGTCCTGCAGACATAATATACATTTGAGTAAAATTTTATTAATCTACCTCATTTCGTTCGGAATCTAGAGTGATTTCCGCAGACGGACATCGCTAAATCGAAATAGAATTTTATTCTGATCAAGAATATATATACTTTGTGGGGTCTAAAATGTATGTTTCGAGTTGTTACAAACGGATGACAAACTTAATATACCCTCCATACTGTGGTGGAGGGTATAAAAATCAGTATATAAAGTGGTTAATTTTGTGTTAATCCCCCTTACATTCTGATAGCAAATAGAAAATGAATTACTTAGTTTTTATTGGGTAAGTTATCGGATCTCTCCAGAAATTCTTCAATGAATGCACCGGTATGCGAAAATTCTTTTAAAATCAACTGTACAAAAATATTTTCAGGCACAACGATTTTAAAAGAAGATGTACTTTCAGAAAATGCATATCGGAGCTTATAACATCTCAAAAAGCAATCTCCCCCAATTTTTGATTTCATATAGGTATAACTTATGTCATCGGCCGTTGCTACCAAAGGTAATGATACATGAGGAATGACACCATGGAATGGCATATTTAGTGATATATTATAAATAAAAAATGAGTCTTCCGCCGATTTCATTTATAATTAGACAAGCTGCTTATATAACATCACTTTAACACCGACTATAAGCCATGAAGCAAGGGTTGTCATATATATCTTTTTGTAAGTATATGATTGCCACATTTCAAAATTAAGGAGTGCATTCGTAAGCTAGATCTCGTTGAGTGCAAATCGTTTCGCGGAAAAAACCGAGCTATCAAAACAGTAAAAAACTAACCAACCTCATTATATGAACAAAAGCAAACCAAATTAAAACATTTCTTGTGAAAAATATAGTCTTTTTCAAAAAGATTAATGAAATAAAAACTCGATCTTTGTGAAAAACGAAAACATTTTGTGAAGACCAAAAACTTTTTTGTTGGTTGAAAATTTATAAAATCTAATGCGCATAATTCTGTGCAAACACAGTGCCTTTTAGTGTGCATAAAAAATCCATCAAGGAACAAAATTGCATTCCCAATTAGTCTGTGGTTTTTGGCTAGATAGATTGTGGTGTTTTTGGTGTTCGTTGTGGCCGGGCTGCTGTTGGCTTACTTTGTGTGTGTGTGTGTATTTGTGGGTAGACGCACCCCAGTAAACAATTTTTGCCGAATTCGGTCCGATTTCTGTCAGAATCTCTGAAAAAATGTCCGATTCTGATTCCGAATTCCTTCCGATTTCGCTACGAAAGTTGTATGGACGTGGTCACCGAATTCGGAAAGATTTTCTGAAAAAAATCTGAGAAAATATTAGATTTTCTGGACGAATTCGGTCCGAATTCGGTGAAAATTCTTGAAAAAATAGGAGAAAAAATTAGATTTTCGGAAAAGATTCGGAGGACAACTCCGAATTTCTGAAAGAAATCGGGCAGAATTCGTCTGGAAATTCGGCGGAATATTCAGATTTTCTAAAAGAAATCGGTCAGAATTCGAAAGAAAATTCGGAATAAAATTCAGATTTTCTGAATTTGGTTGTCATTGCCTATCAAATACATAGCGCATGATTGAGTAGACAAAGTCAGTGTGTCGAAAAAAGCATAATTCATACAAT